CAATTCCGTCCATAGCATGGGGAAGCTCTTCCCTGTGGGAACTGCCCACCAGAGCTGCAGGTGACATGGAGGTGGGTCATCGGCAATTGCTCCACAGATGTGGTCCAGTGTAATCCTCCTAACCACTTAGGGGCAGGTGTCATCGTTCTCCCGAGTACAACCATGAAGAAACCAAAGCTCAGGGAGGTGAAGCAACTAGCCCCACGTCACAGAGCTCGTCATGGGTGGGCTCAGAGGCAGCCCAACCCTCCCACCCTTGTCCCGTGATACTTCTTTTGTATTTGAACTTTAATGTGGTTCATGACTTATCTTGTCTCCTGGACTACGTTCCTGGAGGTTCAGAATTCTCTTATACAAAAACCCATACCATGGTGCTAGCACAGTACAAATGAGACAGTTTCAGCGTAAGGTCCAAATAAGCATCTTAACAACTTCAGTAGATTCTCTGAAGAGCAAATCTATGAGATGTCCTCACCCCTTGCCAACCAACCATGTATTGCATAAATCTCTCTATGTGAAGAATGTTTCATCACCGGAAGTGTCATCACTTGGATACCAAAATATGCTCCCACTGCGCTTGAAAGAAAACAGGCTTACAGAGCCCCTGGGTCTGATTTCATCCGAGGGAACCATGCGACTTCCTAATATTCACCTACATTTACAAAGAGATGATTATGACTTCCCTGGACCTACAAAGAAAATGCTCATTTAATCCATGTTCTGCTCAGCCATTTAACTTTCCAAAACTGATTTAGAAAATGTGGTCTGAGAATTAAAAAACAAAGAACTAAACTGTCTCTATTACATAGGCCACACTGAACTGGACCTAACACGTCTGCCCTGTGCTGGCAGCTCTGAGAATTTCGGAAATGAGTACGGATGGGCGTGGCCCTGCTGAGAGGCACACATTTGTTGGGCAGGGGGGATGAGACACGGGACTGTGAACTAGAAACAATAACGTGCTTCATGCAGAAGTACCTGCCGAGTGGTGCAATGCTGCGGTCACCTGCGAGCAGGTGAGGGGCGGGGGACGCTTGGTGCAGAGTCTCGAACCCGTTGCTCCGGAGCTAGACCACCTGGCCTTCCAAGCCCGCTCCCTGTACAGGCTGCATGATACCGAAAGGTCTTTAAAATTCTCAGACCACATCTCCTGGGGCAGTTTTAGAAAGTTAGAAAGCTCAGCAGAACCTGCTCCTTATTAGCTGTGTGAAGACAGGCAAGCCATTTAGTATCTTTGTGTTTTCGCCCCTCATCTGCAGAAAGGGGTCGGTAAGCCTACCTCACGGAGCTGTCACGAGGATGAAAGCGGCTGATGGTGGGAGGCGTCCCGGGCCTGGCACGGGGCCATCACAGACCTGAGCGCCCGTCAGCTCCCAGTCACACTGCACTTTGACCAGTGCTTTCCCCTCCTGTTTCGAGATTCCTAGACATGTCTCACACTGGGAACTGCCATCTCCATAGGGAATTTGGTAAGGTCAGTACTGAAAACATACAACATAACATGGAAGTATTTCTTAAATGTGTAAAAAAAAACTTGCAAATTGTTTGGTGGGTTTGTGCTTAGGCATTCCCGGGCAGGACAGGGAGATGTGAAGGAACTACCAATATAAAATCAGTAAGGACAGCCCTGGCCCGTTTGGCTCAGCATTTAGAGTGTCAGCCTGCGGCCCAGAGAGACCTGGGTTCGGTTCCCATTAGGGGCATGTACCGTGGTTGCTGTTTGTCCCCGGCCCTGGTTGGTCATGCGGGAGGCAGCCACTCGATGTGTCCCTTTCACGTCGATGTTTCTCTCTCTCCCTCTCCCACTCTATCTGAACAAAAAATGGAAAAGTATGCTCGGGTGAGGATTAAAAAAAAATCAGTAAGGACAGCTGAAGTCTGCACGCTGGGGACATAAGCCTCATGACACCTGGCTCACCCACGCACCCCCTCCTTCCTCTCCCTGTGGACCTGCCCTAAGTGGGAGCCCCCGTGGGCTGGGCTGTTCCGCTCGGGAGACCCTGCAGGTGCAGCTTCCAGGCACCTGTTTGGGACCCAAAAAATAAGGTCTGAGTTCCAAAGTATGAAAGAAATATCCTTGCAAGACTGACTGAAATTTAATGTTTTATTAATTGTAAAATAACTTCAATAATGTTGAATATAACTCTTACCTACATGTTGACTGCCCAGAAATAATCATCCTTAATCAATCACATATTTAAAAAATTGTTAAGCACATCATTCCATGTCCTTCCCTAACTAGAAGAATCGCACTTACTGTGGAACATGGGTGTGTCTGGTGTCTAATGGGATCGGAGGTGGGGCTTCCACAGTCTTGTGCCCCAAGGGCTGAGGAGGACCCTGCAGACTGCCCAAGGGGAGGATTTTAAGAGGCTCCCGGGAGTGCTCGTCTCCCCACATTGCTCTCCAGGCCAATGCAGCTGCTCAGTGTCATCACGGAGGCCCCACTGCTCCGATACAGACACTGCCAGAGATACCTGTCCCTCTGCCCTGGTGCGGGGTTCACACCTCTCAGGGTGCAGCAGACTCACATGGAAATCTATTTTTAAAATGCATGTTTTGGGTCCCCCTAACCAGAATTTGCGAGTTACTAGGTCTGGTGAAGATGTCAGGAGTCTGCCTTAGACTATCCAGACCATCCACGGGCCACACTTTGGAAATGCTCTTAGCGCTGTGGGTTTTCAGGAGGAGGAGAGGGGGGCTGGCGGAATAATGCATGTAGACAAAATAGGGGTGTCTGCCAGTTTGGATAGAGATCTGCCTGGGGTAGGGTCTTCTTAGCTTCCTGGCCATGACTCTAGAAGGTTCTGGGGTGGCCTGAAAACCCCTGAGAGTCTGATGGATTTCTCCTTCTCAAATGTAATCAGATGTTTTCAATGTAAAAATAACATGCCCATATTCTCCTTTTGTAAAAGAGCATTTTCTTTGAAAAGCTTCCTGTTTCAAGTTTCACTGCAAGTTTTCAAACCCAATGTTGGAGAATCAGGAATGTCAGAACCACGAGGAAATGTCCAGTGGTGTCATTTCTATGACCGGGAACCGCGTGCTGAGAGGGGCGGCGTCGCTGCAGTGACAGGGCCGCTGCCGCCACACCTGGTGCTCAGGGCTCTAGGCTCACAACCGTGCCGCCCGGCTGTGCCTTTCTGACGGGCTCCGCTGAGCACCGCTGGTCTCTCTCCAGGTGGGAACAGTCCTTTCTCGGTATGTCGGGAGGAATATAACGGGGTGGTCAGAAGCACCGGCTTCAGAACCACAGAGGTCCAAGCCCACGTGCTGGGCCCGCTGTAGCAACTGCCTTCACGTCTCTGAGCTCCCGGACTGCAGCGGGCAGGCAGAGCTACTGCACAGGGCTGCCTGACGGGAGCTCCAGGGTCAAGTGAGTCGTTCACTCATTTGTTTACATTCTCCAGGGTCAAGCCAGCCTTCAGAAAGGTGTCTTGCCCAGGTGAGCAGGAGTGAACACCCGTTTCACTGGGGTGATGTCTGCTGGGCTGAGCTCAGCAAAGCTCCCTGAGAAGTAAAAGGGTACAGGGAAAGTCAAATACACGACTTTCCAAAGGCAGTCATCACACATGGTTAGCAAAACATTTTCATTCAATGTTCTAGCGGAAGGAAGCAGATTTAAATCAACCCCAGATTTATATTAGCCTTGGGATGAGTTATATGACATCAGAGGGTGGTAGCAGACTTTTGTTCGGGATTATTTTATGCATGGGAGACTATTAAAATTTGTAACTTGTCCCTGAGGGCACATCAGCTCCCGGGCTGGGAAGGAACCCAAGGCCCCAGATTTTGTGGTTTGAGGGTATTGTGTGGCTCACACAGACACTGGAGAGTTAACTTTTGCTTTTCATTTGCCAAACGTGTGAGAAGGGTTGTGAGAAGGCTTTGTTCCATTCCCCAAAGCCCAGAGAGAGTAAAACACCATCTCCTCTACACTGTGTGATCTGACAACTGCCAAGCAGTGACTGCGCAGCAGGCCCCCTGGAGAGGCTGTGGCGGGAGCCCACTGACAGCACTCCTCTGAGCTCCGTGACAGCTCCGTCCGTCAGCACCTCGCTCAGAACTGCAGCCAGCTCTGTCCTAGCTTTGTAGTAAAACTCCACTACGGTCTGCCAATAATTCAAGCCTGGTGTCCCCTGTGTGCTGGCAAAGTTCTGTAGCAGGGGTACCGGGTCTGTGCAGCAGTCACTTCTTCGGCTGTGTGGCCAGGACAGAACATCCATGGCTTCAACGGGCAGCTGGAGTTTGGAACCCTCACTGCGCCCAGTTTGACGTGGGACCAAGTGGGCCACAGCTACTCGTGTGTGAGATCCTTGGAGGACCTGCTCCACGGGCGTGGGCAGGACGGAAGGAGAATGTAGCACATATCAGGGGTCCAGCAGATGGTAGCTCGAATTTTCTGTTCAGAAGGGGCACTCTCAGAACAAGCTCTTCCTTTCCAAGAAACTCCTTTTTACCTTTCTAAGCTGGCTAAAATCCCTGGCAATCTCAACAGAAACCTGTGACAACACTAGGGGACATCCTACGAGAAATGCTTGCCCTGAGTGAGAACCACGCATAGGGCCACGTGGTTCTCGCCCTTGGCCGTGGTACTAACCGCATTTAGGGCCACGTCCTACTCTCAGGTAAGATAAAGCAGGCAAGCTTTAGGACAGGGGGTTCGGAACACTTCATGGGCCACACTGAACCAGAAGCCAGAAGTAGTAGGTGTGGGTCCTCAGCCAAGCCCTTGCTCAGCTGGGGCTCAACTGCCTGGGGCTCCGGTCATCCTCACCAGAAGCTGAGCAGTTTGGAAGCATGTCCAGAGCAGGGGGTTTTCGGTGAGCAGGACGTGTGTTCTGCGTCCTTCCCACCTCTCCTGATGTGTTTGCCCTCCGGTTTAGCCCAGGGTCCCAGTTTCACAGTAGCTCCGGTGGCCAGACATTCACTACAAAAACATCAGGCACTACTGTATGTCTGTAGTAGGGTCATACAAGGTAAGAATTCTTGATCCCCCCCCCCCTCGGACAGCTTACAGTCTGGTTAAGAAAATAAAATGACCAGTCTTTTTGGATACTTACTCTTTTAAAGTCACATAAGATCATTCCAAAGCCATAGGCATGATTACTTCTCAACAGAACCAAGAAGACGTTCAGTGTGCAGACTGCCTCTTGGAGACTGGAAACGGTCCGCACGTCCGGGGCAAGGAACTACCTCCACCGGAGGGGACATTGGCGATAACAGAGGCAGGCTGACACCTCATTTTATCATGTCAGGGTGATCCCTCACTTAAGGTCCCATGAAGAAATGTACCAAATCCCAGGCTTACTATGGTAGCTGGTCCAGCAGAGGTGCCCATCCCCCTACATTAGTGTTTCCTTTGACTCCATTTCATCCTCTCCCCGTGGAACCATGCTTGTGATACAGGTCCCAAGCAGGGCCACCTGGACTGGTGTCAGTCTGTCTGTTCAGGTCAGTGAAGCAGCAGCGGTGGTTGGATCAGATGGGCGGGGCATCTGGGCACAGCTCACTGGGCTCACTTGCCCTCCTTCCCCCTAATGGCCAGCTCAGTGCGACCAGACGGGTTTCCTCTTCTGGATGAAGGCCTGGATTCCCTCCTGCCCATCCCGCAGGGCCACATTGTTCACCATGGCCTGGGAGGCGAGGTGGTAGGCTGTCCTCAGGTCCTGGCACACTTGCTTGTAGAAGGCGGCCTTGCCCAGAGACACCACAGGGCGGCTCAAGGAGGCAATCTTCCTCGCGATTCTCATGGTCTCTTCCTCCAGCTGCTGTTCCGGCACCACTCTGCTGAGCAGCCCATGGAGCAAGGCCTCCTGGGCAGAAATGGGCTCCCCAGTGAAAAGCATTTCTAAGGCAACCTGGGGGAGGAGACATGGGCAGTTACTAAGGCACTCTTCTTCTGACCCACGCCACCTAAGTCCCACCCTCTCCGGTGCGCTGCCGACGTGATCTGCGTCCTGACTTCCCGACGGCCGTGGCCCAGCTCTCAGGAACAGACTGCACCTTTCCAGGAGCAAGGAAGGGGAGGGACTGTGCATGTCCTCATGCTTCGTCCCCAGAGCTGAGCTCCCGGGCCTGCAGAGGCAGATCTGAGCTGCCTCTTTCAAAGGCCAAGCACAGGACAGCTGCCACATCTGATGGGATGACACTAAAAACACACAAGAGTGAGGCCCATCGCCTCCCACAAACCAGTGCGGTGTCTACTTTCCAGAAGACAGGAATGTTCAGAGAAGCCACCACTTGAGCCTGGTTTGAAAGAGCAGCCTGTCTCCCAGAGAAGGGGGTGGTGAAAGGCAATGCCTTCCAGGGACAGGTGGAGGGGTCTAGCATGATTTTAACTTACAAGGACAGGACGCCCTCTTCCCACAATCCTCTGCCCCCAGATTTTTGAGGCCCACAGAAAGGGGAGTACACCTTTATCACTCTCTACAGCTTCCTCGGTTCTATTGCCTGCCACATACTGTGCCTCAATTCTGTAACCCTACAGAGCCCAACTTCTTGAAACTCAGCTTATGATTTAGGAAAGGGGTTTCTAGGTGCACGAGACACAGTGCCCTCTCCTCCTCCTCCCCTCGCTCACCTCCTGCAGCCCAGCTGCACCTCTGCTGTTCCTGGAACACACCAAGCACCTCAGCCCTTGCACCTGCCATTCCCTTGGCCGGCAAGGCTCTGTCCCCACATGTCCTCATGGCCTGTTCCCTCATCTCCTTCAGGTCTCTGCTCACATATCATCACCTCGTCATGAGGTCCTCCATGACCATACCACCCAATTACAGCTGCAAACCCAACCTCAGCACTATCACCCTTTGTGGCTGTATTTCAATCCTTTGCACTTTCATCATTTAATAAACTATATACTTTATACATTTGTTTATTGTATTATCTTCTGTGCTGGCATGTAAATTATACTAGAGCAGAGGTTTTCTATCATTCTGTCATTTCCATATGTCCACCATCGGAAGAGCGCCCTGAATGGCTGGACGGAGGCAGATGGTACAGCAGAAGTACACTGGTTCTGTAGAGGCTGGGTCAGAGGCGCTACAGCTTCCCGCTGGCTCCTTTCCTTGGCAGCTCGGCTGAGAGCCCCTGCCTTGCTCTGGGAAGCCCACTGAGAGGCCGGGCTAAGTGTCCCAGCTGAGTCCCCTGCCGAGAGGCAGCCTCCGCTGCCAGATGTGAGTGAACAAGCCTTATGCTCACTGCCCCAGCTGTCACTCCCCAACCTGGAAGTCCCCCAGCTGAGACCACACACTGTGGAGCAGAGATAAGCTTTCCTCACTGACCCTGAGCCCTGTCCAAATTGCAGATTCATGAGCTAAACAAATCGCTGTTGTTTTGAGCCACTAAGAGCGAGTGGTCACGCAGTGAGAGATCATGGGAACAGCCTAAACTACAGGTAAGTTACAGTGCACCAGCACAGTCTTTACTTGCCGTTTAACCTTCTAAGCAGTGGGCCCCGGAAACTTCAGTGAGAGAAGAAAAGACTCCTTTTCCCCAGTCAACTCTTGTTCATGTTAGGGGCACTCCTTGAGTCCCCCTAACAAGTTGGTGACTTAATACTTCCTCCTCCTGGGCTGCTTGCATTAAAAACAACAAAAAGGACTGGAGGCCAAGACTCACCACCAAGGCAGTGGGGCTTGTGCCTGGATGTCCCTGAGGCCACTTACTAACCACAACACCTTAAGGGAACGACTCAACCCCTCTGAGTCCGTTTCCTTATCTGAAAAACAGGAATAAGACCAGGATCCTGAAGAATTGTGAAGATTACGGAAAACATGTGTACAGCTTATACTACAGAGCTAGGCACTCAGTGGGCACCTAATAAGTGCAGTGTCTGTTACTCACATGCTTATTCCAGCTGCAAATTTGTATGCATCTCTAATGTTGTGATTTAGGGATCATGGCTCCTGATGGGGTGATTATTTAAAGCAGAGGAGCCTCCCAGATTCCCTCCAGTTACACCTATGACAAGAACCAGCAGGTGGCAGCGGTGTGTCAGTATTGGGCTGGGGTGCTAGAGGACTCCCCGAGGCTGAGGGATCTCGGGGCTAATTTAATGGGCTGGGAAATGTGAGAAGTAAGTTCGGGTGCGGAGCTACATGTTCTCAGACGCGCTAATGCCACATGCCTCACCTCTGAGGGTCACAGGGACCACTGTTAGAGTGCAAATTGTGATGCAGTCAGTCTGGGCGGGCCTCGGACCTGCATTTCTCCAGGCTCTGCTGAACAGCACACCAGCTGAGTAGCAGTGTCTTAACACTCTTTCCAGCTTGGAGGTTCTACTCTATTCTAATTAGACAATTGAGAAATCAGATTCTATAGATACACAAGTGGCCGTGGAAGCAAGTGTTCCTACCACAGAGAAACGACTGGTTTGGGAGAAGGGTTCAGATCTTGCATGCATCCCACAGGAATGCCACCCGCTTGAGGTACTGCCTCCACATTTCCGAGCAAGGCCAGCTCTGACAGGGAAGGAAGCAGCCGCACCAGCAGGTTGGTTATACGGTGCGATGAAGATGCATTATTTAACTCATGCCAGAGGAAACACTTTACAAAGGTGGAAGATTATTCATGCCCAGGCTCAGTCTGGCTTGAACACAAGGGCTGCATGCCACCCTTTCTGTTCCTGGTGAACCAACTGCAGCCCTCCTCGGGCACAGCTGAACAGTTTCCCATCGTGACCAGCAGAGGGAACTGGTGACCCACATGTGTGGCCTGCATGAAAGGGCCAAGCTTCCCAACCAGGCCAGTTTGCAAAAGCACCTGCTTGCTTCCCCGTGAATGTGCACGAGGACACGTGTCCAACAACCACACAGACTCGATGGGCCTGTGTATGAATGTGTTCCTGTGGGTGCAATTAAGCAATGACAACATGTAGGTGTCTCATTCAGGTCTAGATTTTTGCGAATCCCCCATTTTTCTCCTAAAGGAAAGCCACCCAGTTAAGATCTGCAGTCCAGAAACCTGGCAAAGGCCTTCAGTGCCATGATCAGCACTGCGATTTCAGCTCCTTAACAATGACCTGAAACCACATCTCTGCTTAATGCTTCCAAGTAGCTCCAAGTAGCCCCATAGGCAAGAACTCTTATCTGTTACAACTCTGAACCACTTTCAGATGGCTGACAAGGAAGAGCCTCTGACGACGTCAAAACCAGAACGCCACCACTGACCAGCAATCAGAGGCCTCCTTGGCCCAGGGCGGGAGCACAGAGCAGGGGTGTGAGTGGGACACTACTGGAGATTCTCTGCCCGTCCTCTGGGGGGGCCTGAACTCTCAGGGGGAGGAAAAAGTTACTTTGGTCTTAGAACATCCTGTCCCCTCATCTCTCATAATGGACAATTATGCTCATGGTTCTGAGAACTGAGCTTCCTGGGAACTTAAGTCCTATCTCTGCCACATTTTCCCTCTCCTTCTCAAAAACTAATTTAAAATTTGACAAATATAGTGTTTGAGTGTTTAGGACTCAATTATAAGCCTTGATTTTAAGTTTGTTTGTTTTAAGAGAGAATAGATTCTTATCCTGACAGTAGGAAAATCATGATTTAAAGATTTCAAATGCCTTAACATGGAACCTTCCAGAATGCTCAGTGTTGAAGATGAACAGCTGTACGTAGGCTAACCAGACAGCCACCTTTTACTGTGCAAAAGGCCTCGTGACTTGATTTACACAATTATAAGATGGTGTATTAATAAGCCCTGACAATATGTTTGTAATGAATGCATTTAATTTAATGTACTGGCATAAAGTAGGGACTTAACACTCTCTCTCTCTCTCTCTCTCTCTCTCTCTCTCTCTCTCTCTCTCTCAGCAAATGTGTGTCCTGACAGGAGGAAAACACCCTTTGGGCTGAGGACATTGTAGAAGCTCTGTGTGGACAGCCAGCTTTGCAGTTGTGGAGCCCACGTTCGGCCAGTTTCCGTGTATGTGCTCATAGGTATCTACTCAAAAACATGCACCTCTGTGAGAACTCGCGAGGAAGCACCATGAAAGAAAGGAGTGCTTCCTTAAAGGTCTCGGTCCCGGGCCTCATTTCTTTTGTGCCTCAGGCATATGGACAACTGCCCATTTTTGTAGCAGATGCCACAATGGATATGACATTCTAGAAAGTAATTAAGTTCCCTACTTGCTATGGTATACGACCCCCACCCCCCTCATTTTTTAAACAAATTTCCAATTAAGAATGAGGATGTATTTTTTCTTGAACAAGGAATCCGCTGGTTTCTACCTAAGAGATGTGTGATAAATATTATTTTATGATGCTATAGGGAGGGAGAAAGCTTTGTAAAGAAAATGGATTTCACTGTGGCTGGCAACGACAAAACAACTCTTACAATATGGCTCCTGGGCAGCTCCAACATGCCAGGCACAGGCTGTTCATGCTCCTGAAATATAACCGCTGTAAAGCCGACACACTCAGTATAGCAGCTACTTTCAATCTTTTCTAGAATAAGACACACTGTCAGCCAACAATCAGCCAGCGACACTCATATCCCAGCCTCTCGATGCTGGCATATATCACCGAGCTGGTACATCTCAGGTGCACCCTTTCAGTGCAAAACCACCACATCTCAACTGCATTTCAAATAAGATTACAAAACTGTGTGCCTTTATGAAAATGAACCCAAAAAATCCAAAAACCTAACTAGCCGTATAGTTGGGCAGGCAGCAGGGAAATGCATGACTCACAAAGCGAAGCGCTCTGTGAGAGGCTGCGAATTCCCTCCGGAACGCGAGGCGTGAGAAGGAGCAGGGCAGCACACCGCCGGCGGTGCTTCGCCCAGTGTCCTGACGCAAACGGTACTTTAACGAGCGAATTCTGGAACCAGCCTTCACATGCACTGGAGAGTTACAACTAGAGAGGGCGCTGCGGGGGGTCAAGTTACCTTTCTTGGCACTGCTCTCCCCAAGGCCACCCCAGGGGTGGAGCAGAAGAGCCCGATGTTGACACCCGGAGTGGCAAACGAGGATTTGTCACTGGCCACAGCAATGTCACAGCTGGCGACAAGCTGACACCCAGCAGCAGTGGCCAAGCCGTTCACCATGGCAATCACGGGGACAGGGTGATTCTGGATCAGCATCATGACCTGAAGGAGCAAATATACCCTGTTCACATCCATCCAAGAGTGAGACACAATGTTAATGTTTATTTCATATGACTTTCCTGCTTTCAGAGCCATTTTCACATCCATTGGTGTATCGGCCTCTGTGAAACAAGGACAAAACAAGGCACAAACAGAACTTGCGTTGAATACTGACTATGACCCAGACTGTGCCGTTGGATTCCTGAGAGCCCCCAGAGGAAGAAACGCTCTGTTTCAACGAGGACACAAGGCTCCGAGGGGAAGGAGCTGGCCTAAGGCCCCAAGATCCGCACGTGGGGTCTGAACATCTGTCTGACTCCCAGCCCCTGGCCTCTTCGGGGTTACAGCGCCCTCCCTCCGACTGCTCCCCTGGCAGCCCCGCAGACGAACAAAGCTGATTTTATCTCTGGGGAACAAATTGTTCTGTTCTCACTGAGGCCGTGTGGAGCTCTGGTGTTAAAGGTCTGAAACTGGTATTTGGAACTTCCTAGAAAAATTAATGAAAAAGGAACTGGAAGGCAATTTCTCTAGTAATTACTTCTCAAATTACCACCATGAATACCCTCTCACTTCTATTAAAATGGTGGGGGACACCCTGCTGTCATCAAAATAAACAGAATTCCTAGAACAGTACCACTGGCACGGAGAAGGCAGCCAGAAACTTGCTCGTGTGCTACCCCCTCCCCCTCATTAGTCTCCAGAACTTGAAGTTATTTTTGCAGCTTATGAAATAACTTGATTTATTTTTCCATTTCTTCATGACACGCTACACAGATTGTGTTTCTATAGTAACTTCAATGTATAAGTGGTTGCTCTTTGAACCCAGGCTGGAAGGGAGAGGAGGCAGGGAGAAGCTTCATCTGGTCTTTTTCCCCATGATGATAACTCAAAGATAAAAGACCTTCATTGATTTTGCCCAAGGAACTTATGTCTGCCTTTATATATTTGTTTATTTGCTTATTTTTTTTATCCTCACCTGAGGACATTTTTGCATTTATCTTCAGACAGAGCGGGAGCAAGAGAGGGAGGAAGAGAGAGAGAGAAACATCAATGTGAGAGAGACGCATCGACTGGTTGCCACCCACACAACCCCAACTGGGGCCGGGGACAAACTGTAACTGAAGTACGAGCCCTTAGTGGGAACAGAACCCAGTCTAACCACTGAGCAAAACCAGCCTGGGCTTATTTCTATTGTTATAAACATTTGCTACTTGTCAGTTGTTGTTGTTTTTTTTATTCCTCACCCGAGGATATTTTTCTATTTATCATTAGGTAGAGCGGGAGGGAGGGAGAGGGAGAGAGAGAGAGACAGAGAGAAATATCGATGTGACAGAGCAACACCGACTGGTTGCCTCCTTCATGACCCAACCAGGGCCGAAGATGAACCACAACTGAGGTGCGTGCCCTTGACTGGAATCGAACCCATGAGTCATTGGTCCACAGGCCAACGCTCTAACCACTGAGCCAAACCGCCCAGGGCTCTTTGTCAGCTTTATTATAACACAACCAATTATATATTTAAGGATATGCTATCATACTCTAAAATAGTGGCTCCTGACTTTTGGGGGGTCACCTTTGAGGATTTAAGTGTTAGTAACCTTCTTTATAGAAGAATGCACTTACATGTATCTGTACCCCAAACCATTCCCGGAACACAGGGTTCACGTACTCCCGGTAAGAATGGAGATGGTCAGTGACAGAGCTCATCGCAGTGAGCTACAGTAACCAGGGGAAGAGTGCAAAAAACTTCAGAAATCTTGCTGCAGAGAAACCCAAAAGTTTGTTTTAGCTCTGAGTGTCCCCTACCACCTATGAAAAGTCAATTGTTTCTCTCCCATCTGCCACCTGTGAAAGGCTAGGATTTCATACTACCTGGTGGGAAAATACTTCGGTAATCCAATATAAATCAACAACGTTAAAAATATTCATACCTTTGTTCTAGGAACTATACTAATAAGAAACTATCTGAAAGGTTAAAAAGCTGTCTGGACAAAGATGATCACCAAATCATCACTCTACAATAATCAAATCTATAAAAAATAAATACACAAAGAAAAGGAAATGGCTATGTTAACTAGAATATATTCATTTCATGGAATGCTGTATTATTAAAATAATATTTTCCAAGAGAAACATCAGCACAGTAGTCTGGGCCTCACATAGTAGTCCAGAGCCACCCACTGGGGTTTGATGCCCAGTCTATCACTCATTCACTGCCAAATCCTCAGTCTTGACGTCTGTAAAATGGGTAGATAATATTAACTGTAGAGAACATGAGAATTACATAAATTAATCTACAGTTCTTAAAATATTACCTGGAACATAGTTACCATTCATTGGTATATTATACAATTACATAGTGTAATCATATCTCTATATGATTAGTCAGGCAAACATGTACATGGGGGAAAATGATTAAAAATAAATGTAGTCAATATTTTTATTAATTATAGTTCTCTCTGGGTCATATAATCATGGTATGATATCAATAATTAATTTTTTTTCTTTTTTTCTAGATTACAAAAATTTTCTGTAATAAGCATTTATTACTCTATAATTAGAAACTTTAAAAAATAGCAGTCCTGGCCAGTTTGGCTCGGTGGTTAGAGCATCAGTCCCACAGACCAAAGAGTCACAGGTTTGATTCCCGGTCCAGGGTACATACCTCAGTTTTGGGTTCGATCCCCAGTTAGGGTTGTGCGAGAAGCAACCAGTTAATGTGTCTCTCTCACCTCTCTCTCTCTTTTTCTCTCTCTCTCCCTCCCTCCCACTTAATCTTAAAATATATATATATATATATATATATATATATATATATATCTCAATGGAAAAATATCCTTAGGTAAGGATTAAAAAATAAATAAATAAAATAAAAATAGAGAGCAATTCAGAGAATAAAGCAGCTAGATCATCAATCCCTTAACAGTCAAGAATTGATTATTCCCCCTATTTTACCTCCAGAATGAAGGACTTTTGGGAGGGTCCAGCCTACTCCGAAATGTGACATAAATTTAACTCTGCCCTAGCCTCATTCGGCAACATTGCCAAAGTATATTACATCCCAAAGCCAGTGGGGTGTGAGGAGAAAGAGAAGAATCTCCTCCTGGACTTGGGTTTGCACCGTCAAACTCACAGGATATTAAAGAAGACAGGCAAGGACAGGTGTCTAGTGAAAGCGGCCGCATCAGCTCACAGAGGTTACTATCATTCTTCCATAACCAAGCACTCCTCCTCCTTCTCAATTTGCCCTATTCCTGTTTTTTAAATAATTAACTATCATGCTGTACTTGTGGTCTGTAACAAATCTGCTACAAATTTTAGATACTATGCTAATTCAGATTATCTCTCTCTTCCTTTCTGAAATCAGATTTCCTCATGCATGATCCAACATGAAATAGCTAGCCATTCTGTTCCAACCTGCCTGTTGACTACCCTTGAACACTGAAATCTTGCACTAGTTTATGACACTCATGTTTACTCAGACAATTTGATTTTCTTAGAAAAAAAATCTTGAAGAAAACAATGTATTTGCACTCTATTTGACTGTGCCAGGGTTAGGTCCTGTTTAGGGACTGGGCTTTTTCAGTGAGCTGGAGGCATCCAGGGGCTGGAAGCTTCCACAAAAGCTGGTATGTATCCTCTGAAGAAGCCCTGGCTCCCTGTGGCCCTTTGACAACCCGTTTAGATCCCAGTCCATGAAGATCCGCTGGCAGAGTGACAAAAGCAGGTCCTTTTAGGAAGGGTTCTACTGGTTCTCTTTGATGATTTTCTATTTTGGTAATACTTACTGGGTATTAATAGAAAAATAACTTTCAAAGCACCAAACCTTTGCAAACATAGAAGCAGAATGTTACATAATCATTAACGTGAAACAAAAGCCCTAAGTCCTAGCTCTGGCTTGCTTCCTCCTCTCTATGACACCTCAAGTCAATCCCTTTTCCCCTCTGTCCCTCCATGAAAAGAGAAAACTATCATCTGATCTCCAAAAGGGTTTCTGGAAAGGCAAGGAAAACTAACGATGGTGAAGAAGGTATCTTAATCACCTTCCATTTCCCAACACCCACTGCTCACCTGGTTTTACCTCCATAGTAGGCATTATTAGCTATTTGTTGAATCATAAATGACCAATTGAATGAATGAATAAGTTTATGAATGGTGAAAAATTAGCCTAAATTATCTTAGGGTCAAGTCATGAAATTGTTTTATATGCCTTATTTCTCAGCTAGATTTCCATTTTTAGTTAGCCAGGAAACTCTTTTTTTTCCTTTTATTTCCCTCAATATCTTGCAAGTATCATACATATAGCAAGTGCTCAGTGCAATAAATATTCCTGAAATGAACAATATGTTATGTAAAGTTGGATTCTATATTTAATTTTTGATTATCCAGGGGCTGATTTGATACATTTATAGACCATCTCAAACTTCTGTTCTTCTTCCTGTGTATCTGTTGGCAATTTCCCTTCTTAATATGGTTAAAGGGACAGAGTGAAAATGAAGAGGTTAATTTTTCTTCTTCGAGGTGTTGATTATAAAGATTGGTTGGAAGAAGAGTTTAAAAATATGTTTTAAATTGTTACTGTTATTCCATTTATTAATGCTTTCTCTTTTCCCATTAACTGAATTGTTTTAGTTAAAAAAATTTATAATTTATAATCTTAGGTTCTTTCTCTCTAAAGATGTACATTTCCATCCTTTACCTCTTAACACATATACACTAAGACATGCTCATGATGCTGGAGATAGCAGCAATCAATACCAGCATATATTTCACTTTCTTTGGCATACACAGTATCAGTAGCAAACTATGGTCACTCCTTAAAAGTCTAAACCAAATTGTTGCTTAAATGAAGGATTCACCAACGACCAAGAAATTTCAATAGTTCTGCAGTGGTTAGGGCTCATAGATAAAACCTTACCTGTAAACTAGAAGCCTAATTCAACATTTAATATGTATCATTATCATTTTCAGGTTTGCAATGCCAACCATCCTCCTGACTTACCTCAGAACAGGTTTGAAACACTTCAGAATGATATTCCGGACCTTGCTCATCTGTCAGTTCCTTTAAATCATGTCCGGAAGAAAATACAGGCCCCTCAGCTGCAAATGTTTCCAATTGAAAAAAGAAAATAAAAAGGTGTAAATAGCAGAGCTGGGAAGGTCACTTATTTGTCAACTGATTAATGAACAATTGTATCAATAACGTAGGCACAGAAAGTTAATGGCCTAATTTGGTAAGAATAATTCCAATTAACTTGAAAAATTACAGCCAGTATCTTGTGATGACAATATCTGTGCTCTAAGAGGTCTGCGATAGACACCAGTGACCATGTGCAATTTGACAAAGGAGAGGGCTCAGGAACCAAAGCAGATGGACTTCTTTCAGAGTTGTTCCTCCGGTCTCACAGTTTTGTTTTTGGACCTGGCCTGGCCTGGAGGTACTGACTCATATAGATCCGTCAAAATCCACCATGCTTTCCGCAGGTCCTTGTCATTTAGTCGACAGACAATAGCCACCCATAATGGTTGTGATCAGGCAGGTCAGAGGGTGAAGAGAGCCCCTTTATTATTTACATGGGATCTGAGGATGTGGTTTTATTGTTATTGTTCTCATTAACAACAACAAAATGCAATTCCACTGAAAGCTGATAACTTTTTCTCATACTTTCCTTTTGTTGTGGCTCTTTTGATAGGCAATATTATTTCCTTTAAATAAGTGAGGAAATTGTGTTGTTCAGAAGTTAGCTGCCTTTGCTGCATCCGGGTAACATCCCTGTGGCTGCCGAACAATATCTGTCCTGTTTCATTTCCCTTCGCCATATAAAACAGTTGAAATTTTATATTCAACCTTAGATAAGAAGATAACATTCTGAGCATCCACCTCCAGAAATACTGATCCTTATTTTCTACAACAACAAAAAAGTACATCACAGGGCATGATGCATTTTATTTTTCTGTGGATGCTTTAAAATGCTGACACTGATATTATTTATGCCATCCTCACCATCACTAGATAATTCAGTAACAATTCTTACTGGAAAAGAGCACAGAGGAAATGAGCAAACCAGGGCATCCTCTCTAGCACCACTGGAGAAGCATGGCTGAAAGTTTGGGACAAACCAATAAAATGCCTGAGCCGCCTGGTCCCAGCCGATGAGGTAGGCTACCCAAAGGTTCAGTGAGTAAACCCATCTTATCAGGTCCATGAGGAAACAAATTATCTGATTTTGATGGGAATGTTTCATACCCAACAAAAAGATAAAGACACATATTTTCACTGCACAGTAATCTTTGCTATAATTTCCAGTTCACAGTGTTAGGGGGGGAAAAATGTCAACAACGACAAAAAAAAATAGTGTTAAGACCAAGCCTCGTGCTACACAAGAGTTTTTCCAAATTAACGTTCTTGTAAAGGAGCTTCCAAAAAATTCTCCCGTTAAGGAAAGACCCCCGTTAACCAAAGAATTTGGAGAAAAGTCTTGTAGGTATTACAGAACCCTGAGGATGGATATCAGATAAGTACCTGAAATGACAATGACTTTCAGGTCTTGGCTTTCAGCTTCATGAAGAATGTCACTTTGGAGAGATTTCAGCATCTCCAATGAGAGCGCGTTTCTCTTCTTTGGATTGCTCAAGACAATGTTCCTGCGAAGAACATTTTATAACTCCTGGGTCATGCACCAGTCAAAACAAGCGAGGACCCCTGCAATTCCTTTCTAATTTGGGAACTATTTTTAAAACACCAGAAAAGAGAACTGCTGGTGCTTAGAGGCAACTGAAATGGTCTGTCAACTCTCTGGAGTTATGACTTAGGTCAAAACACGGAGACTTCCTGAAACACAGGCTGGGTTTTCTCCCTCTTCCCTTGATTTCTCTTTTTCTTCAGGTGTGCTGTCATCATTACTGCCACCTCCACCAAAAGGGCAAGGTAGAGCCATTCCAGAATCACTGTCGCCCATACTGAGAGGCTGCGCAGTTTGTAAGACAGCAACAGGAGCCAGAGAAATCTGACACACAGTGCCACTTTCAACTTACTTCTTCCTGTTGTCCTTCCGGGAAAAAAATTAGGTTAGGAGAAGAGTCAAGAATGAACTCTGCCCCCGATCTCCTCCGACCCACCCCACAGAAGAGGCGGCCAAGGTGCAGCTGCCCATACACACACGACAGCAATTTACCATCTTTTATAGTGGCATCATGTAATTCTGCACAATAGTTCATGCTGTCTGAGAATGGGATGGTATGTGAAGAACAAAAGGACAGAACTGTACAGCAAGAGGGCTCTTTTGGACATGTCATCTCACCAGAAGCTGCCATTCAAAGGCCTGCTCACTATTTTAAGTATGCTGATTAAAATAACCTGTACTGTCATCTTACCACCTATACATAGAAATGTCTTATTTTTGCTGTTATAAGGAAGAAGCAGCAAGCCAAACACCAAATTACTATTATATATATATTTAAAGGAAAACAGATTATTTATTTATTTATTTATTTTTATCCTCACCCGAGGTCATTTGTCCATATTTTGTTCAGAGAGAGTGGGGGGGGGGGGGAGAGAGAAACATCGACGCGAAAGGGACACATCGAGTGGTTGCCATCCACACAACCCAACCAGGGCCAGGGACAAACTGCAACTGAGGTACATGCCCTTAGCGGGAACTGAACCCGGGTCTCTCTGGACTGCAGGTCGACGCTCTAACCGCTGAGCCAAACCGGCCAGGGGACTATTATATATTTTATATCTGCTTCCCATCAGCCCCCACCCACATTTTCTGCTTTCCTCATTCTTTTTTGAATCTGACATTCCCACCGCTATGTGTCAGTTTGGATTCTACATAAATAGCCTCCTAGGCCACTGTTTTCTGGAAAACCACTTTGATGACTGAATTTCGGTGTAATACCACTTTCTTTGGAATACCATTTCTGTTTTGCTGAAAACTTCAGGTGACTGTGGTCCTTATCATTGCTTCTCAAATATATGCTATCTCCTAAGTAAAAAAATGACTTGCAGCTGATCGACTTTGAAACCTGTATTTGGGGCGAAGTGCTTGTTGTAGTAGACTTTAAAAGCTGCCATCCTATCCATGACATAAATTTAAATTAAATTCTAAGGCCTCAGGCAAAATTGTATAAAAAGATGCCAGCCCCAAATGACCATGCTTCATGGCAGTGTCTGTTCATGCTTCCCACAAATCCTTTGGTTTGCGTGTTACACAACCTGTCAGAGGGCCCTACGTTGCTGAGTTCACTTTTCAACCAGTGTAACCAGGCTTCTGTTCCTGCCACTCCACTAAAACTGTTCTCACCTAGCAGCTCCTAATTGTCTGAATCAAAGCCAGTGGCCATTTGGATCATGCTCTCTTTCTGGAAACACACTCCTCCTCTCCTGGCTTTTTGGTCCTTCTCTACTTCTTCCATGGGCTACTAGCTTTCTGCTAACCCCTAAATGCCAACCATCTTCAGAGCTCTTTCTTGTGCCTACAGCAGTACCCAATTCATAGCCGGCCCTCCGTACATGGCAGTGGTATTGCTGAGAGGGAACAGCTTTGAAAAGGAACACTCAAAGCTTGACTGAATTGCTCAAGCTCACCTTCTTCGTGACTAACACAGTATTGCTTTCATGCTGGATTTGGGGGCTTCCTTCCTACTAAACGATTCCTAGCATTTATGATAAGTTGTTCTAATCATCTATCTCCCTTTCTGATTCGTGTTTAACTTTGGGGAAGTCAACCAGGCCTCCTTTTGTCATTTGATGGCCATGCCACAAGTCAGGCTTCTGAGCAGATGGAACCAGATTTGCAGAAGCAGAACTGCCCTTGAAAACTGGCCCCTGCCTGGGCTGGCCCTGCAGTTTGAGGCACAGTGCTCAGGCCTTCTTCCAGCTGTGCCCATCCAGGTGAGCAGGAGACCACTAGGATAATGGGATGTACTCACCAGGAATCACCTCCCCCTTCCAAACCCTGCTGGAGTTCCCTGCCTTTGCTGTAGGTACTCCTAGGCCCCAGGGTGACTAAGAGGAGTGAGAAGACAGAGAATATGGGCAAATAATTTGGGTGTCTCCAGACCTATGTGCCAAGCCCCTCCAAGAGCAGCAGGAAGGAGGGATTAAGAGGTAGGAGTGGGTGAGCAGAGGCTGGGAAGAAAAATAAAAACTGCAGGCTAGCAGCTGGCTCTCCACTTTTGAGACTCCTAGGAGCCTGAGAATTGTAAATTCAAACATGGCCTTCAAAGTTTTATGTAGGTCTACTTATCAGGGCAGGAGAAGAAAACATATTTAGCAGTTAGTTTGATTTGTAACTTTAAAATAGTTAGATATGCTATACGGGCCTCCTCTTGGACCCTTGACTGGCCTCGCGAATGTCAGGATGAGGTCTGGATGGGGCTCGAGACCCTTCAACTTTCACGTCATCATCCAGTTTCCACTGTGCGCACTGGAACGGTTTTAAGGGTTTGGGGCTGTGGGGCCAAAGAGCAGAGCTCAGTACCATGTGTCCTTCATTCTGTTTATTGACCGGGCACTTCTGGGTGAGGGCCAAGGGGCAGCTCTGCCAGGCCTACCCTGCCCTTGGAGCCAGATGGAGCTCGGGAGGCACAGGGTCCTCTGGCGACGGGCTTTCTCGAGGGCCGAGGGCCGCAGCAGCGGTGACCACCGGCAGAGCTGCCCGCACGGAGCCTGGGCGTCCAATGACCACTCGGTTGCACTAAGTGTTTAGGGGGAGTGTGGGGCCGTCGAGGCAGTCCCACTCGAAAGCCTCAGGTGTCAGTGTGGCGGGGTCCCATAGCTACTGTGCCCAGGCAAGGGGCCTCTTTAAGCACCATAGCCGCGGGGCCTTCCCCTGGACTACCCTGCGGGCCGCACTCCGCAGTGACGGACGGCCGGGTCCAGGGCGGCGGACCGCGCTCACCGCCGACAGCCCTCGCTGGACGCCGCGTGGGTGACGGGGCGCGCTGCGGCCCCCTCTGCCCATCTCCCCCGTGTCCCCGCCGGCCCACCCCACCTGGGGCCAGCCCCGCAGGCCTGCAGGGCGCTCCCGAGGGCCAGGGCGCCCGCGGCCCCGCCGCTGACCTGATGCCGTCCCGCTGCCGCGCGCTGGTGGGTCGCGGCCCCGGCTGCGGCTGCGCGGCCCCGGTCAGCCCTCGGCTGCAGAAGCCGGCGGCGAGCGGAGCCCAGGGGCCGTGCCGGAGCCAGTCGGGCAGCTTTGTGCCGAAGGCCCGCAAGCCCACGGCGGCGGCCATGGCGGCTGGAGACGCGCCCCCTGTGCCGCGACCCTTCCAAGGTCGTAGGTTCGAGCCCAGCTGCTGGGCTCCGGCCGCGGATAGAGCTGCCTCGCAACACTCAGACGCCGGCCTGTTCCGACTCTCCCAGGCCGAATCCCTCTCCCAGGCCGGATCCCTCCGCCGCCCCGCCCTCCGCCGCCCCGCCCTCCGGCCGTCACTCCACAGCCCGCGGTCCTCCGCGGTCCCGCCCCCGCCCCGCCCCGCCCCGCCCCGCCCCTCACGCCCCGCCCCGCCCCCCGCGCCGATCCCCTCCTGCGGGCAGCAAGGCCCCCGCCTCGCCCCCGGACCACCGGCGCCCCGCCTCCAAGAGATAAGGGGGGCCTGGGGAAAAAGACGAGGTAAATTGGCGGGCGTTCGCCAAGGCCTGTTAGCTTCAGCTAGGCCAGGTAAGAGCTGGAAGGAGGCCAGACGTGGATTGGTCTGTTCTTTTCTGCACCAACACGAAGAATGTGGTGATTTGCCTAGATTACAAAAACGAATGTCATCAGGTGGTGGGTGGTGTCACCTCTGGACGTCACTTTGTTACTTCACCCCACCCACGGAAAACCGCCCAGGCCTGGCAGAGGATCACAGCTCAGGAGGGGAGGTGTATCCCACATAGGCGATGACTTTTGAATGATTTAATGCTTTCCCTTCCTTAGAGAAACCCTGGGATCTACATTTATCTCTTGACTTTTTCAAAATGCACCAGGGAGGGAATGGGGGGCCCTTTCAGGACCTAAGTGGCTGCCACAGACGGGGCATATTCTGCAGTTAAAAGCTTAAGTATAATGAGAATGTTCTCGTCATTTGTTTAGTTAACTGCTTCCTGGAAGTATTTGTTAAATTCTCAAAGTCTGGAGATTTGCAGGACACATAGAAGGTACGGTCTTGGCCCTCAGTGATCTTATAGTCTCTAGGGGAGACACCATGCCCAAGAACATCCACACCTTTCATACGGGGTTTGGCAAGAATAGCAGCTGTACTAAAATGAAGCCATTAAGATTGTACAGTGGCTCAAAATAGGCATACATTGGGTTCCTCTGAGTGACGCTCTCTTTAATTCTCAGCTTATAATTGGACAGCGCTTATGTTGAGGATATTTTGAAATAGCAATTGAGATCACCACCACCACTTCATTTCCTTGGTGCCATTCCGTTCTGGCAGCTGTGGTATTCTCATTCATTGTCTCTAAGCAGAAGGGATATGGCAGAATTCAGAGACAAATGGGGCAATTCTTGGCTTTTGACTTGTGAAAGCCTAGCAGATAGGGGTTGGAAAAACACCAAACAGGCATAATAGATTGGGGAAGGTGGCACTGATAAGTCAGAACAAGACCCCCCTAGGGTTAGGGGGTAAGGATAGAGCAATTCGGGCTTGTAGGAAAAGCTAGAGCAACTGTTGTGGGATTTGGGAAAGGGGTGGGCCAAAGCCTCCTGAGAAGTGAGGATGGTGGGAAGCCCCAGCTAGAGCGGAGGCAGGCTTGCTCGTTTTCCTGGTTAGAGCCCCAGGGGAGTCATGAGACTCTAGGTGGCACAGAATGCCTGGGCAGATAGGCCGGAACACCTCCCAGAATTTCACATGGCCCAGTGTGATGCTGTGACCACAGACTGGTCCCTGTCTTCTGACTGGGGCTGCTCAGAAACAGCTGGGAGAGATCTGGACCTGAGGAGGCTTTGAGGTGGGGAATGGAAGATGACTCAGCTGGTGTGGATTTGTGGTAGGCAGTTAGACAGATATGAGGAGAGCAAGGATGGTGGACTAGGCACAGAAGGTCACCAGGGTGGAAAGCCCTGGATGCCTGGCAGCAGACAATTGGACAGTGGAACCTCATCCCCAGGGTGACCTTTCCTCCCTTAGCATATTGCTAGTTCTGTGGTTTGGGCCCCCTGACCTTTACTCCCTAGAGATAACATTTCACCTCCAAGCCCAGAAAAGCAGCAAAATCAGACAAGTGGCTGACCTCAGGACCAGTTGCATTGAATAATGACCCCCTGCCCTGGCACTGACCAATCAATCAATGGAGACCCCAACCCTGAAAGGACATACCTGGAAAGTTGCTGAATATTCTATCAAGATCTTCTCCTGGGACCTCCCCTAAAAACTCCACCCTTAAATCCCTTAGGCCCAGGACCCAGCTCCCTCTCCCTCTCCACTTGTACCTTTCCCTTCCCCCTCCTCCTTCCTATCTCCCAGGGGCATCGCCTTTATATTATTTTGCCTCTACAAATTGTTTCCTCAGCCCATTTCTTCTACAAATTACTTCTTCTACTTCTGTGATTTTTTTTCTAAATAAATGTTCTCTTATAGTTTGAGTCTTGCCTCTGAATTCTTCCCTAGTCAGAATTCAAGTACTAAGGTTGCTGAACCCAGGTCCGGACTGATCCTACCGGTCTAACAACTGGTGCTGTTCTCGCTAACCCCAGCAGGTTGACAAGGTGGGAATGAGGACATCTTGGATGGATACCATCAGCTGTAGGTAGACTAGAATATGGTGAGGTAACAAAAACAACAACAAAACAAGTCTAAGTTGCTCAACAACAAAGCCTCATTTCTCATCCACACTGCAGGTCTGCAGATCCACCGAAAGCTCTGGGCTGGGTCAGTGCTGTCTTCACCCAGGAACCGGACGGAACAGTCTCTGTCCGGAAAGTTGGCAGTCTCTGTGGCAGAGGCATGAAAAAAAAGGGAGAGGGGGACAGGGAGAAGCACGAACTAGCACTTAAAGCTTCTTTCTGAAAATGCCAGTTGATCTCATGTCTCATTTGCCAAAGCAAGTCATAAGGCCACAGTGCTTCAGGTGTGTGGGGAAGTACAAGCCTCCCATATATTTGGAAGAAGAGAGCTAGAATCTTTTTTCTTTCTTTCTTTCAATAACTACCTAATGACTAGCACAACCATCCAAGCACAGAGCCTTGATGTTGTAAACAAAGTTATACTTATTACTCAGGGATCGGGGATAGAACGCCAAATTGTCATAGATTACGTTTCTGCCACCAGGCAGAATGAGGGTTTGAAATAGAAGAAGTTAAGCTTATAAATAAAATGAAGTTGAATTTCTAGCACACCTGAGTGTCTGCCCTGGGATTTATATCTACCCTCTTAGTCCTGGCAGGTGCTGCAGAAGACGCAGAGCTGCAGGTCATGCAGGATCAAAAAGTCTGATCAGCCCTGGCCGGTTTGGCTCAGCGGTTAGAGCGTCGGCCTGCGGTCCTGAGAGACCCGGGTTCGGTTCCCGCTAGGGGCGCGTACCTTGGTTGCGGTTTGTCCCCGGCCCTGGTCAGTCGTGCAGGTGGCAGCCACTCGATGTGTTCCTTTCACATTGATGTTTCTCTCTCTCTCTCTCTGTTCCTCTCTCTCCCTCCCACTCTATCTGGGCAAAGAATGGAAAAATGTCCTCAGGTGAGGATTAAAAAAAAAAGTCTGATCAGAATGATAACCAACAGGGTCCAGAGCCTACCACCAGAGGACATTTCTCACCTTTGTACTAAGATTAGTACAAAGTACTGATAATACTGTCTGGTGGGCTCAGTGGAACATGCTCATCTCCCCTTGAGAACAATGGGGAGCAGTGGAGTCCAAGCAAGAGGGATGTTGCCCAGAGGGCTTGGGCATGGGCTCTGATGCAGATCTGACAAACAAAAGCTATTTCGAGTTCTTGGAGACTAATATTTGTGCTTAAGAAGAGACACACCATGGGGTTTTCTCTTTTAGCTTTTCGACTTCTTTGCTGAGTATAATGTCTGTGACAGTGCAGAGAACAATCTATGATGATAAATGAAAATTCAGAACTCCTGGATTTTAATGAGGTTTTTGATACATCCAGCTGACCCTTCAACCTCTGGTGCTCATGGCAGTCTGCAGAGGGAAATAATTTTATTGTTTGGGCAACTGCTGTAGGAGAGCTCAGTTACTTAGAGTAGAAGCATCCTGGATGGTCCAGAATCACATCACTAAAGTCATTTGTCAAAGTCATCTGCTTTTCTTGGAGTCTAGTTTGGATAAGCTCAAACTTGCATTTTAGATACTGTTTTTGGCAAGGGTAGGGGCTGGATGGTGGATGGAGCTTTCTGACATTCATTTTTGCTTGTTTGTGTTTGCCTTTGTTAAATGTGTACTAGATATGTATTAAATTTTTAAAAATTTTATGAGTGGGGGTTGATGAAGAGACTGCTTCATCCCAACATAGGAGTTGGTACAGAAGAGGAATATTGGGTTTTGAGAAACAGAAGGGATTAGGAGGGCACTCAGAGCCTGAAAGTCACAAATGAACATAAAATGTTTCAGACACAATGTCCACCTGATTTTACATTTTATTTAATAATAGTAACAGCGCTAGGCTGGTGTGGCTCAGTGGTTGAGTGTTGACCCATGCACCAGGAGGTCGCCGGTTTGATTCCCAGTCAGGGCACATGCCCAGGTTGTGGGCCCGATCCCCAGTGGGGGGGCCTGCAGGAGGCAGCCAGTCAGTGTTCTCTCTCATCGATGTTTCTATCTCTCTCTCCCTCTCCCTTCCTCTCTCTCTAAAAATCAATAAAAAATAATAATAATAATAATAATAGTAACAGCTGCTCTTTAAGAAGCACCCCTCTGTGCCATTGCCTGCACATGGTGCTTTACCAACGCCATCTGAGAGTAACTTGTGAGGCAAGTATCATTATCCCGGTTCAGAGAGGCCCTGCCAGCCCTGCTCAGCCCTGCTCACGCTCAGCACAGTGGTTACCAAGTTGGGACTGGGTGCTGGAGGTGACCTGAAAGATGGTGCTGCAATGGAGGTTTGCATGCTCATCAGAATTCCTACAGCTGCTCTCCCATCTCTGTCATGTCTCCTTCCTCCCCTTATTTCTTCCGTGGCCCGTAGCTCTGGGTTGAGTAGCGAAACACACAAAGAGCACAGTGGAGCTGGACCGCCGTGGCATTATCCAAGTGGGAGTCAATAGCACTTGCTGAACCGCTTGTCCATCCTTCAACAGTGCAAGAGTCTTTTCATTCAAGCTGTTTCTCCAGGCCCCTTCTGCCTCTCATTAATTTTGGTAGGGGCTGCTTGTCTTCTCCCTTGCTCAGTGCCCTTCTAATCTATTTTTCTACGTGGG